TTTTTTTTTTTTTTTTTTCTTTTTTGCAAGGGGAAAAAGCTGCGAGAAAGAGACGCACCGTTGTTTACGGATCCTGTATTTATTTCAGTAGAACAGAGTACCGTAGTTTCTCGAGTGAATCGCAGTGAAAGCAACAGCGTGTTACGAAGCGGTGCTGCTTTCAGCGAAGAAACGATCGTCGAACCGGCGCGTTTAGACTCGCTCATACATTCACACACATACGAGCATAAATAAATAAATAAAAATCTGTGTCCTCCCACATTTGTTCGATTTAAATTCCCGTCCACGACTCTCGATTCTCTGTCGCTGTGGTTTCGTTCGTCGAAGAAAGATGAAAAAAGCGGCCACCGATAGAACACAGAGAAATATCATGATGTATACCGTTCCATACCGGAAGCAACTGTCTCGACACGGTGGATTCGCTCTCACTTCAGCAGGATTAACTCGCGGCTCGTTCCCTGGAAACACACGCGAGCGAAATTTGCTCATTGTTTTTCTATCGGTGGATCGCGTGGCCACGCTCGAACGCAGTTAATGAATGTTTCGTATGGTGTTGTTTGTTTAACCGCAATAACAATCGCAAAAAATATATATATATATATTTTTTATAGACGATAGAAAGTACAGAGCGATATTTAAACAGAAGGAAGTCTTCTAAACGACTAAATAGATGATTGATTGAGGAAAAGTTTAGACTGGATTGCTCTTGTTGGAAAATTGCGAGGAACACTTTGCAAGTTTGCGAGTTTTATTCGCTTCACTGATAAAGACTGTGTGAGAAATTCTATGATATAATAATACATAATGAATGAACTACTTTACGTCCACAAAACAATCTCTAAAACATTCTCCAAAGATCAAAGACGCTGCCTAGGAACGAAAACCAAAAAAAAAAAAAAAAAAAAAAAAAATTTCAAAGGAAACACGTTTGAAAAAAATATATTTTTCGAGCAACGACTGACAAAGATTCGACCAAGCAAAACGACATCCATTGTGCCGGTGGAAATTGAAACAGGACAATGTTCTCCAAACTCCGTGGACAACGAGGAAGGGGGTTGGCACCGATGAAAGGAGAATATCCAGGAGTTTCCGTGACGGGGAGATCTGAATCGCGTAAATTCAGAGGCTGAAAGCCATTATCGAGTTTCCCCCGCGGCATCCGCGTTGCTCGCAGGTTCGTTCGTTCGTTCGTTCGTTGAAGCCACCGGGGGAGGGTGGAGCCCCTTTTATCCAATGCCGCGGGTGTCGGGGGCGCGACTGTGAAGCGAAGGCAATTATCGTAGCGAAACTTGAACGTTGCCGGCTTCGAGGCTAGCCGACGACGAGACCGAACTCCGGTGCCAGGAGTGGAGTGTTTGGCGTCTGATACGACGGGTCAGGTCCCGGGGGATTCTCAGCGACTCAA